CCGCCCCCTGCCACTGCTTCTAAAAGCCCCAGGCATGGGGGCTGGGCAGGTGCGGAGCCGGCAGGTGGGGGTCAGGCCCCCAGCCGCCCACCGCCAGAGACCAGCTGCCATTCCATCTGCCCCAGGCTCCCTCCCAGGGAAGGCAGCGCCTTGTGCCCTGGCGTGACGGAGTGTCACGTGCCATGCATGCTGCGTGTCTGTGCTTGTGCCCACGCGGGTGGGTGATAGGAGTGGGGTGGCGGGGGAGGGCCTGCCAGCGTCTGTGGCCAGAACCACTTGTGGATTGGGAATCTCTGGGGGAGAAGGAGGATGTGATTGGATTTCAAAGCTCCTTGCTTAGCACCCACATGGAGGAGAGGCTGGGGGAGCAGCGTGGAGGCAGGGGTCTCAGCCGTGAGCCTCTCCCTGGGGATGTGTACCAGTAGACAGAAGGTTGAAACTTTGGATTTGCGAGCTGGCAGACCGGGATCCACATCCTGATTGTGGGCTATGATTTCCTTTTGTCGAGCCTGTTTCCTTGTCTGTAAAATGGGCGCAGTGACAGAGCTGGCCTTGCAGGGGTGACTGGAAGTGTATAAAGTGGGTGCCGTGTGGAGACCGTTACGAGGCCGCCCAGGAGGGGCACAGAGAGCCTGGGGCACTGCTGATTTGTAAACTGAGGGTGGTGCCCGGGTGGGAGCTGTCACGCCAGGGTGGATTACGAACACCATCTTGGCCCAGGAGGAAGCTGCCACCGCTGGATCCTCCCCAGCTGTGGTTCTGGGCTCAGCACTGTTTGGGGGACCACAGGCAGACTCCCCACATAGCTGCATCCTCTCCTGCTCCCCCAGGAGACCGACCAGGCGTCTCCCCCACCCTGTAGCTACTCTTTGACCAGGGGATGTCACACCACTTCTTACCTGGGGGAGCCAGGACTGACTGGGATGGAGGCAGAAGCACGGAGGTCCAAGTCTCCCCAGAGGAAGAGGGAAAACCCGGGGGACCCTAGCCCAGGGCCGCCCCTTTCCTGCTTCCTGCAGGGGCGGAAGGAAAGGGATGCAGCATCAGGGCATCCTGGGTTTAGTTTCAAGGCCCTGGGCCTCTGCTAAGTGGCTCTGGGGCCTCAGGTGAGTCACTGGGCCTTTCTGAGCCCCAAGATGCTCACTTGTCGGAGGGAAGGAGGAGAGGTGTGGTGACACACAGGGAAGACGTGGGCTGGAATGAGGTGTGGGCGTTCGTGTGTCCTAAGCTCCAGCCTGACTCACTGGAGTCCGGTGATGAGCAATCTGGGGAGCAGCAGGGAGTGGGGTGCAGGGGGTGCATGAAGCTGTCCACAGGGATGCTGTGCCCCCAGCTGGGGGAGCCGCAGTGACCTCATTCCTGGGCTCGGGGCCCCTTCAGAGTCAGCCTGAGCTGACCCTCTGGACTGCAGAGCCACAGTTGGATCCTGGGGGCGAGCTGGGGCAGGCGAGGTGAGCTGGCCGCTCAGTCCTCAACCGCACCTCCCGGAGCGACACTAGGGGCTTTGGCATTTCTTATTCTGTACCAGGCTTGGCTAGGTGCTTTCTGTGTCTTTTAGTCTTCCTCAGTCTCATCGGTATTCTGAGCACCGTTTCATAGATGGGGAACCGAGGCCCAACGGTTTACATAACTTGACCGAGATCACACCCTGACAGCTGTAGACCGGGACCCTAGAGTCCAGCCCACAGCCCCAGGTGGCTCTGGCTTTGAGGCTGACCAGGGCTGGGACTGCTGGCCCCTCGCCGGTGCTGCTCCGTGTTTGGCAAGAGAAGTCACCCGTCAGCCTGGGACCCACGGGGCGTGTGCCAGCGGAGCTCCTCTTCAGGTGGCGTGAGGGGCGGAGCTCTAGTCCAGCGCTCCGAGGCTGGGGCGCGATCTGGTCCCCCATCACGGCTCCTTTTTCTAGCCGCGCAAGGGAGTCTGAGAAGAGCTGAGATTGAGAAACCTCTGCTTTAGCGTTCACAAAGCAGATGCCGAGGTGATGCTGGCGCCCACAGTCTGGGCTCTGAGGGACCCAGCTGAGCGCGAGCGTGGGTCCCTCCAGCCGCCCCTGCGCAGATCCACACGAAGCACCGGCTTATTAATACTCGCAGGGCGGCTGCCGAGGCGGATGCAGTAACAAAGGCGGCCTCTCCCGCGCACCGCAGGCAGCCTTACATAATTGCTGGGAGCCAGCACAGGCTGGGCCAAGGGTGGGCTGGGACGGCGAGGAGGAGCGCCCGTCGCTGGGCTGCACCCAGAGCCCCGGGACCTGGTATGAAGGGGCCTGGGCAGGCAGGCGGCCCCTCAGTCTCCGGGGATCCCTGCCACACACACACACACACACATACGGTCACCCCGCGTTGAGGGGGCAGAGGAAGGATCAATGCAGTACGTGATGAGGGACTTTCAGGAGCCCACAGACCGAAGTCCTGGCAACCTGCAGGACAGCCCATTCTTCAGATGGAAACTGAGGCTCGGGGTTGGCTTCCTGAACCAGGATTTTATGTCATTACTTTCTGGGTTGTTTTTTTTTTGTTTTTTTTTTGAGACAGTTCAGTTTGGGTCCCAGACTGGCCTCAGAGTTGCAGCAGTCCTGCTGCCTTAGCCTTCCAAGGGCTGATTACTGGCCTGTGTCACCACGCTTGGTTTGCGGCAGGATTTTAATCTCCAAGTTTGTCAGCTCCAAAGCCCTCAGATCCTGCAAGCCTTTGTATCACCATGGACCAGTTTTTGCCTCAGTTTCCCCCAAATACCCTGGTCCTTCCACACCCCTAGTCCTGTGTGACATCCTTGTGCCCCCAGCACAGTCTCCCCTCTGAGAGGCCTTTCTGCCAGGAAGCCTCAGCCTCTTGCAGCTCCGGAGCGCAAGGTGAGAGCAGATGCCACCCAGCTCCTTGGAAGCTGCTGTCACCTGTCTGCCTCATGGGGTCCTAGGCTCCACCCCACCTCCTCATTGGGCACCTGGGGGAGTGAAGGCCACTTCCTGGGCTCTGCCCTCCTACCCCGGCCTTAAGTCACAAGCAAAGAAGGGGCAGAGCCTCGGCTCACAAGGGACCTGGGTCCTGTGCTCCTGATGTCCCTTGCATGGAATCACTGTCACCATTATTCTGAAGTTCTAGGACTCGAACCCAGTACCTGGTGAGTGCCTGGCAAGTGTGCTCCCACTGAGGCCCCCCCAGCTCACCTCTCACAGGAGGATTTTGATCATTAGATGAAAAACAGTTAAGGATCACGCTGGGCTGGGTGGCCCATGCCTGTAATTCTAGCACCTGGGAAGCTGAGGCAGGAGGGTTGCCGAGAGTTCAGGGCAGACCAGGGCTACATAGTGAGTTCAAGACAGCTCAGAATACATAGTCAGACCATGTCTCAAAAATACAAAAAATAGTTAAGGACCAACATAGAGTAGGTGCTCAGTAATGTTCTTCAGTCTACTCTGCAGCTCCCAGGGCAGCTCTCCGTTTGCCTTTCCTGTTCCTGGGGCATTCTGGGGCCCTCCTGCGGGGGGGCTGAGGAGGAAGGAGGAAGAAGACTGGGCCCTGGTTTCTGAGCCAAATTCCTGATTGCTTTATGGCCTTGTGTTTAAGAGGAGTCTGTGTTTGCCAGTCTAGCGTGTGGGCTCCCAGGGCTCGGCCTGAGCTGTGCACCACTATCCCTCAGGTGGAGTGAGGGGGAACCTGCCCTGGGCCTTCTCAGGCCTGTGGCCAGGCCGCTGGAGAGGAGGTGGCAGGGGGGACACCAGGGCCGGGAGAAAGTTCCTGCAGGCCAAGAGGACTTGAACACCTCTCCAAGCCTCAGTTCACCCAGCTGGAAAATGGGGCTAGGATTAGCCCATTCCACAAGGCAAAAAGAGAGGCTGTCAACACGCCTGAAAAATACTGAAAGCAGTGAGTGTGGCCCATGTTTCTGTCCCTCTCCAGCATGGCTGCTGCCATCTCCACAGCCCTAATACCACTGTCATTCCTCCTAAAAGGTCCCCAATTCTTAAGCCACACTTAAATCATCTTCCTGGTTCTTGTGTCCACTGAGCTTGTTTCTGTTTTGAGCCCTTCACATATGCTGTTCCCTCTGCTGGGAATGCTGTTCCCTGCAAGCCTTCATGGTCTCAGCTGGAGGATCACTCCCGTTACTCAGCTGCTCACCTGATTTCTCTGATCTTTCAGCGTGCATCACCATCTAAACAGCTTTATGTTTCTACATGGACCCATTTCCTTTATCTGCCTCCTCGAACATCCACCCCTTGAAGGTGCTTTCTCCCTCACAGAGCACTGAATTCTCAGCACCTTGCTCCCTACATATTATATAAGCAGAGAGAGGGAGAGGGAGGGACTAATTCAACTGATAGTGTCAAGCAGGACCACAGGCTGCTGCTCCTGCCCCAGACGGAGTGGTGCAGCTGCACGTTGCAGCCTCAGCGTCCAGACCACCACAGATCTGCAAGATTTGTAATGAACTCTCAAAGGCTCTCGCTAGAACAAAGGGAGGCGTAAAAGCACGAGCACACACTTACACACTCACACACAGTGCAAGATGCGAGCAACCCCCCACCCGGTTTTGCAGCCGAGACCCCCTAGTCCGCGGAGGAGGGAGCCATCTGCAGCCAGCCCAGCTGCGTCTCTGTGCCTGGCACCGTGCTGGTGCATGCAGAGCGCACGGAGGGGAAAGCGGCCCCGCCCTCCCATGGCGGGGGCTGCTCCCCCTGCCTCGCCCTCTGCCCCCCTCTCCTGTTCTCTGTCTCCCTTCTGCTGAGCTTCAGCTCCTCTCCCGCTCCCCTGGTGTGGTGAATGCACACTGCGGAGAAAAACCCAAGGCCCAGTGGCAGCATCGGCAGGGAGGAGGGCAACCAGCTTCAACCTCAGGAGGAGTCAGGGGCCGTGATGACAGCCCTGAGTCACCACAGAGGAGGAGCACGGTGCCCAGAAGGTCACGGCTTCCAGCCGGATCCTTCCTAGGC